CTAAGGGATCCCAGGCCCTCATCTTTAAGCCAATTTTCCTCTGGAAAGAAGACCCCAAAACTCTGTTAACATTCCTTGTGGAAGGCAATATTGCTCAGTTGACATTAGAAGAAAACTCCATGATCATTATCTGGACTAAGGACTTTGTGTCCCAAATAATACTAGAGATCTTCGCAGTTGCCTTCTCTCTCCATGACCTCACCAGAGTCTCTATCGTCCATCCATTAGCTAAAGCACAGACTGAGGCATTACTCTTAATGGTTTTTTTTTCCCTTTCTTCTTTTTTCTGGATATCTTAGCAAAGTTCTTTTTATTTATCAACTTTATTGAGGTATAATTGATAGACAATAAAATGCACTCACTTAAAGCATAGAACTCAGTGAGTTTTAACAAATATATACATCAGGGGCACCTGGGTGGCTCAGTTGGTTAAGCGACTGCCTTCGGCTCAGGTCATGATCCTGGAGTCCCGGGATCGAGTCCTGCATCAGGCTCCCTGCTCAGCAGGGAGTCTGCTTCTCCCTCTGATCCTCCCCCATCTCATGCTCTCTCTGTCTCATTCTCTCTCTCAAATAAATAAATACAATCTTTAAAAAAAACAAACAACAAAAAAAAACCAAATATATACATCAAGGCAAACCACCACCACAATCAAGGTATCGAATTTTTCCATCACCATAAAAGGTTCCCTCATGCCCTTTGAGTCAATTCCTAATTCCCAGACAACCACTGGCCTCATTGCTATCACTACAGATAAGTACTGCTGGTTCTAGAACTTCACAGAAATGCAATCATTCAATATGAACTCCTTTGTTTGTGGCCTCTCTCACGCAGCACAATATTTTTGATATTCATCCATATTGTTGTATGTATTGATATTGTGTTCCTTTTCATTGCCAACAAGCATTATATTGCATGGATAAACTATTATTTACCCATTCATCTATTGGTTGACACTTATTTCTAATTTTTGGTACTACGAATAAAACTGCTAAGAACATTTGTGTACAGATAGTCTTGGAGACATGCTTTCATTTATTTTTTTTTTAAAGATTTTATTTATTTATTTGACAGATACACAGCGAGAGAGGGAACACAAGCAGGGGGAGCGGGAGAGGGAGAAGCAGGCTTCCCACAGAACAGGGAGCCCGATGCGGGGCTCGATCCCAGGACCCTGGGATCATGACCTGAGCCAAAGGCAGACGCTTAACAACTGACCCACCCAGGCGCCCCATGCTTTCATTTCTCTTAGGTAATTATCTAGAGGTAGAATTGCAGAGTCAGTGTTTTCATTTTTAAAATTAAAACAGTAAAAATATATCATTGTCTAACAGAGTTCAAATCACTTTATTTCCACTTGGACATTTAAAGGGAAGAGAGGACACCATAAGTCACAGAGCAGCCCACAGCCACAAAGGGCATGTGGACTTCCTATGGGCAAGCAAAGGACAACGCCCCCTGAGGTCAGAGCTTTCTCTGAGCACAGGGAAGGGGCTCGGGACTTGCTCAAGGAGTAGCTGAAAGGGTACTTAAGTGACAACTGGTCAGGCCATGGGCAGGCAGCAAGGCCTACGCTGGTGAAGTTTTATCATCTGAACAGGTGGATTGAGAGCCATGCTCTGTCCGCACCAAGCTCATGAGCCTCATGCTATTCCAGCTTTGCAAGAAACCCTATTCTGCAACTCAACAGGGAGCTGCCGAAAATAAGGCTAAATGCAATGAAATTCCTGGCAGAAATTAATGTGCAAGAAATCATCAGTATCACATGTAAGGGGTTAAGGATTGGGATAATTTCTTTAATGTTCCAGTTGTGCTTTCTCATTTGATTATAATGGTTATCCATGACTTTGGCTAGATTAAATCAGCGGTAGTCAACGAAATGCATATCAAATGTAAATAACATCTTACTCTGTTTTCTTTCTCTGCAACTAACTCCTCACATCTCAGAGGGAATTTTCCAATTCAACATCAAAGACTGATTAAACATTTGGTGTAGAAGCTTCAAAAAAAGACTGTGTAATTTTATTTTACATATACATGCTAGATGAAAAATAAATAAAAACTTCCCCTGGGTGCTAAAAGTTTGGAGTCAAATCTTCTAAAAGGCAAAGAGAATGGGGAAAATAACCACTTCAGAATTCATCAACAAATTAAAGTGTCGTATCTCAAAATTTCATGATACAGCTATATGATCACTAATAATCTTGGAGTGGCCCATAAGTCCAATCAATCATCAACCCAAAGGTTATGTTTTCATAGTTCTAGGTCTCCCTTTCCAATTTAGAAAAATATGAATTTACAAGGAGAAAATAATAAGGGGATTGTTTAACGTATTTTACCAGGCATTTGGCCCGACTAAAACCACAATGTGTTTTTTGGATCTGACAGCTTATTATGGGAGACCTAAGTAGTGTTTCCTTATAGCATAAATAAGGTGGTCAAAGGAATAGATTTGACCATTTCCAGTTTGGCTGGTAAATCAATTTCTGGTCTACCATGCTGAAACCCCCATGACAAAAGACAAAGGAGGACATCAGCGTGAGTCTCCTGGTAGCAGGTGCAGCCTGTGATCAGGCCTAGCTTAGGAGTAATTTGACTACTACAGTTCACAAAAATTAGCAAAGAGTCACACAAAGACTCTGCCTTTTGAAAGTCCAACTCATTTGTCTGCTTCTTGAGAATCTATTGCTCCTACCCACAACCTCCAAATGCATACACTTTGGGGAAAATGGAAAGGGTGCTCCTCTAGAAAGCAGGCACTTTTGAGTTCTTGAGCAAATTACATAATGTCTTTGGTTTCTCATTATGAAATGAGTAGTAAGTACTTTTCTACTTGAGACCCAGAGGCTGGGCCCAGACCTCTTGATCCTAGACCACCCACTCAATATCCTGTTCTGGGGCTTCCTCTTTTTTTTTTTTTAAAGATTTTATTTATTTATTTGACAGAGAGAGACACAGCGAGAGAGGGAACACGAGCAGGGGGAGTGGGAGAGGGAGAAGCAGGCTTCCTGCGGAGCAGGGAGCCCGATGCGGGGCTCGATCCCAAGACCCTGGGATGATGACCTGAGCTGAAGGCAGATGCTTAACCGGCTGAGCCACCCAGGCGCCCCCTGGGGCTTCCTCTTTATACACAGGGATGGTTCTGCCTTACAGCAAAGCACAAGCCATCCATATCAAGTGCTACCCAATGGCCTAACTCTCAGTTTTATATTTTTGGAAAGAAAGGCCCGTGGGATATTTCTGTGCTTCTAAGTTTTACCTTTGGAAAATAACAATATATTAAAGAAATACCTAAAAAGGCTCTAAGATGCAAATCCATCTGATATACATATTTGTTTATCAATAACACCTGTTACCAGATGGCTTCCACAGCACCATTTTATTTTATTTTATTTTTTTCAAAGATTTTATTTATTTTTTAGAGAGCGAGCGAGAGAGAAACAGCATGAGAGGGGAGAGGGTCAGAGGGAGAAGCAGGCTCTCCGCTGAGCCGGGAGCCCGATGCGGGACTCGATCCCAGGACCCTGGGATCATGACCTGAGCCGAAGGCAGACGCTTAACCATCTGAGCCACCCAGGCGCCCTACACAACACCATTTTAAAAGTTGGCAAATGCCAACCTAAAGAGCTTCAGGTGCTAGTTTCCTTACAGGTGAAGGAGGCAGCACAAGTTCTAAAAGTCTGTCAGGAAGACATCAAATGCAAATTCGGGCTGAGATGACCAGTCAATCCAAATTTCACTACTTTCACTCTCAGTTTGCAAAGAGAACTCAACTACTGCCCAAGAGAGTTGTTACATCATTGTGCAGCCATGAGGACACACCTCAAAGACCTCCCACTACAAAGAGCATAATTGGTCAAGGGCCCCAGGGCTGTGTTCTGGAATCCATCCCTGTATTCTCTCAGAGGCTACTCCACTGCTAAAGTACAGCAGGGATACTAAGGCAAGCCCCCCTGATGGCTGACTTTGCTTAAAGACTTCCTGATGTCTTGGTTGCCTCTGTTTGCCTAGCAGACTAGCACACATCCACCAAACGTCTCTCTTTTCATTTGGAACATGACTTGAATCATGGTCTGATGGTTCAGCCTTTTCTAGCTCCTTTCCTAATGCCTTTTATGCAGACATTTTCCCTAATAATATCCTTGCACTTTTGTTCCCATCTTGACATCTGCTTCTCAGAGGGCCAGACTAACATATCATTCATTCATTTATTCAAGAAATATTTATTGAGTGCCTACACTATTCTTGGCACTTTGTCCTAGGCACTGGGGAGGCTGGTACAAGCCTGAGATGGCCCCCATGGTCAGAACCCTCCCTCCTGGGGTCATAAACTGTTTCCCTTTCTTTGGCTCTTACTGTGTTTTGGGCACTGAGGCAAGAGCACATCACATGCCTACTCTCATTTGCTTTTCACAACAACTCCTAAAGGTGGTATTATTCTTGTTTCATAGATAAGGAAACTGAGATCTACAAAGATGAAGCTGCCCCCTCATAGGGGCAGCTTTTGACTCCAAAATTCATGTTTTCAACCATTAAGCTCTGCTCTCTCTCTCCCATTTGAGTCACAGCTCTGAGCACTTCTGGCAATGATTGCACATCCATATAGTTGATTTTCCAAAGCCTGACTTCATTTTTTCACTTTAAATTTATGAAGGCCAGGGAAATCACTTCTAGAAGAGGGAAACAGTACTTCAGAGCATTCGTAGTCCTACACTATTCCGGAGTCAGTTAATGATGATATTGTTTAACTCATGTAGAAGAGGTTTCTCACCTGGTGTGAGTTTCTAACTCATCTTCATCTATTACAAAGAAGATGGAAGAGAACAGACAAATCCCTTGGCTTCTCTGCTTTTTATCCTGGTCCCAGCTCAGCTCTGGCAAACTGATGGAAGGTGGTTACATCCATCCAAGGCTTTTCTCAGAGGCCACCCAGACCTACTAGAGGGTCAGCCACACCAACCCATGTGCCAACCCTTCCGAATACTGACGCAAACTCATACCATGATCTCCAAGGTAAGTCATACCATGATCTTCTATACTTGACTCAAGTGGGTCAAGGTCCAAAGAAGGAATGGGCTGAGACTCAGGCAGGTTCTCTGAAGTCAGGTCATCGAATTCCTTGTGGAAGGTAATTAACAGTTCGTGAGAAGCTGATAGAAGGAAACAGGATTACCACAAATGAAACAATATTGTTTAGAAGACTATTTGGAAATAAAAATCTGTCAAATCCTCTCCATTAAACATGATACCACTTTCAAATTTCAGAAAGGCAGCCTGGGAGAAGAGAAGCAGCCTTGAACCAACTCAGCTGGTGACCTGAACCTTCTATGGCATCCGTTTCAGGGCCATCACTAGGGTGGGGCAGGAGGAATGCCCAGGTGCACAATGAAGGAGGTATTCACTTTCCGGCTCATGCAAGAGCAGGAGTGATCCGCAGCTAAGAACAAATACTCCTGAAATTCTGCATCCAGGGTCCCACACCCACCTCCCCCTAGTCCAGCCCTGCTCAGGTTCCTCATCTCAGAAGTGGAGCTGTTGGCCTGGATGACTTCCAAGTTCTCATTTGGCTTTAACAGTGCTGTGATTCTGCTCTGGTGCCCCAGCTTCCTAAAGAAAGAGATCTACGAGGCCACATGAAAGAACTCACACTTCAAATAAAAGCAAAAGCTAAATTTCTCAAATATATCAGTAGGTATTTCAATAGATCATTTTGTTTTTTTCTGTTGTGTGTGTGTGTGTGTTTGCAACCTAGAGCTAATGCCGAACTGACCTATTTTCCTTGATAAGTGGCTTTCATGGAAAACTACACCAAGAGGGTCTTCTTATTAAAAACAGAAGGGAAAGCTCAAACTCATCTTAATGAATAAGCAAATAAAGCCATGCCACACTGTGGTACATACAGCATTTGTGAAAATACAGTCATCAAATATTTTTTAGGAAGTCCAGTTTTTGTACTGTATAATTGCTGTAGGAGGTGAAATTGGTTTCAAATTTCAAAGGATCACTGACAGCACACACGCAACTCTAAGAACAAAGAACAGAGATTACATGAAGTGTGTTTTCACTTCTACTTCAGAAATTATTGGAAAATAAGAATTTGGACCTTCAATTGACTTTGATTTGCTGAGGTTCTCTTTGAAGAGAACAGATAGAATTGTAATAATTGCTTCTCTTAAAAAGGATTTGCTCTGATCTTTGATCCCCTTTACTATTTCGTATATGGAGACCTGATCAGTTACACACTTCTCACAGAAACCCAGTTTTGGTACCATCACAACTACAAGTGCCAAAAGATAAAAGAAAGACCAGGCTTATCGAGTGTATTATGGATTCTAGTTGTTTTAAAGCTATCACCCTTTAAAGAAATGGTGCCTAACATGATTCCACGTTCAACTAGGTGGTGATTTCAAAGCCAGATTTCAAAGCCCAAATTCAGCCAAGTAGAAAATGCCTGCCAAAATACAAGGCCCTGTTAGTTAGGGTCTGAGAAACAAAACAAGCCTTTCTAAATGCCTCAAAGAATTTTTATAACATGTTTAAGAAATGACAGAGCCAGCCCATTTTCTCCCCTAACTCTGATTTTATCTCATACAACTGCTTTTGAAATATAAAGCACTTTGCATCAGCTGGCAAGAGAGAAGGAGCAAGAACCAGAGAACCGAGCCCCAGTGAAATCGGGAAGAAATTAAATCATAAATATGTGTATGAGCAGAGATAGGAGCCTTTTCCTCTTTCTTCCTTTACTCCTCTTCACGTTTTTCTTTAGCTTCTTGCATCTGATTAATCCAATTTCTTTCTTACATTTTATTTCCTCTTTTCCAGCTCACTGATGCCTTTTCTTGAGATGTTTAAAACCCTTCAGTCCCTCCGCAAAGTGTCTGGCTTCCCATTTCCTCTCTCCTTTGTTCTTTGAATATCATTAAACCTGCCTCACTCTGTGCCTGTGAATATGATTAACCGTGTCTCTTCCCTGCCTAGCCTCCTCTCTTCATCCTTCTCCTGGGGTGAACAAGAAAGCCCAGGTCACTTTTCCTTTACTTCCATTCCCATGAAATGTTTTTTTCCTAAAGAGTCTATAAGAAAGCCTGTTAATCGGTGGCTTTTCCCGGTCTTCCTACATCTGAAGGTGAATGGCTTTCAAGAGCCTCAATTCCTGTCCATTATTAATCAGAGTGTGGTCCTGGATGAGCAGCCTCAGAATCACCAGGGAGCTTGTTAAAAATTCAGCATCCCAAGCCCCACCCCAGACCAGCCAAATCAGAATCTGCCTTTTAACAAAACCAATAGGTGATTTGGGTGAATTTTGAAGTTTGACAGGCATTGCTGTAAGCTATAAGAATTTAGAGAAGAGCCAGTCGATTGTGGACCTGTGAGGTCAAAGAGGATTTTCCTAAAGAGAAAGTGACATTTGAAAGTGAGAAGGTGGGATGCTAATGAGGGGCCAGATGGAAGTGGCTGATATAATTGCATAAAACAGGGCAAAATACGGGGGGCGGGGGGGGGGGTGGGAGGGTTGGGAGTGTTGCTGAGCAACCCTGTCTGCAAGACTGAACCAGCTAGAGGATATTGTCTGCAAGAGCCAAGCATTTCCATTCACCAGGTTCTATGAGTGGGAATGATCCCATCTTCCATGTCTCTGGGACCCACAACAGATCCCACACCTGGCTTTACCCAACAGGGTGGGAGATGAGCAGAGAGGGGGGCAAGTGGGATTGAGCACATGTCACCGGTGTCCCCACATTATCTGCTAAAGGGTCCAAGAAAGAGATACTCTTAAGATCAGAGAAGGCAGGACCCCCCCATCTGGTCCAACTTTGGGTTTACAGAAATCGACAACACTCACAACCACTAAATAATTGAGAAAGATGGGTTACCTCTCAGATGGAGGCAGAAAACAAGTGACCCTAAGCTCTGCCTGGCTGCAAGTGAGCTTTGCTGGGGTCTCCTGCAATGCCCCAGGGTTTGGAGCTCTCTGTTCACTGAACTACAGCAGAATGAGTGTCCCCAGACTTCAGAGATCAGCCCCACAGCCTCAGGGGGGCTTGGCTCTTCCTGCCAAAGAAAAAGAATCTCCCTCAGGTACAGAGATCCCCAGTGAATGAACAACCAGAATTTGAGACCTAAAGTTCTCCATAAAAATGACTCCTTCCCATGTTGCTTTTACCAGAAGAGCTAGGAAGTTGGGGTTGATGTCTATTGTCCAAATATGATCCTGAAGCAAGACTTCCGTAAGTATCAGAGCCTATTAACATAAGAATAAAAAAAACCAAATAAATAAAATCTTAAAAAAAAAAAAAGTATCAGAGCCTACACCACGGCTCATGAAGATGTTTTTAACCATTAGAGAAAATGGTATTTGCTATTCAGGGGCTTGGGATGCTGAGGATATGATTCAGGGTCCATTTCATGTGACTCCGCAACCGTATTTATTATTGGACATCTAAGGTAATTATTCAGAGTTTGAAAGGGGTTATTAACACAATGCACAATGATATAGATGGGAGACAGAAAATAAAAAGGGAAAGAACAAAAAATAAGACAGAAAGAGAACAATGGATTAAGAGGTAATGCAAAAGTAGCACAGCTGAAATTCAAAATTAGATATACACACATTTGTTCTGCAGTCATAATTTTACTCATCAATTGTTCATTCCATGCTGATTGAGTTTTCTTGTACACAGTAGGCACTTGATGTTTTTGGATCAATCTACTGATCCATCTCTAAGTACAGCTGCTCTGAATTACTGTCATCATTAACCATTGGTCTATATGCTAAAATGAACCCCAGTACCTCCACCCTAAATCAGGCAAAATTGGTCTGGATGCTTTTTTTCTCCCCCTATGTCCCTTTTCCTACCTGACTGGCCACATGAATGCGATGAATCTGAGCAATTAAAGGTCTGATGTAACATTTAAAACAAGAGAGCACTTACATGGAGTATATCAACAGTTAGCTGCTCAGAGTTCCGAGATCTCAACTCTTGCATTCTTTTGTTATTTTCTTCATATTTTTCTTCTGCAAGCTTCCTGCAAATTTAAAGTGAGTGTAGAAAACAGCTGCATTTTGCTAAAGCCATGTCTATATTCTGCAGGTAAGTGTGATCCCTGTTTCAACAGGCAAACTGGGGTGTTGAGAAGCCAGGCTAACGGGTCTCTCCCTCATCAAGGTAAATGCGGTGTAGCACTCACTGGATTCTCTTTTAAAGCACACATGATGATGCTCTGGCTCCTTATCCATCCTTAGAACCCCTAAAACGCATCACTGCAATTCAAAATTAGATATACACACATTTGCCATATGGCAACTTCAAGAATAAAGTTATTTAGGTTTTATAAAACAAAATATTAGCATGTCTGTACTTCTCAATTTCTAATTTCTGGGGATAACATTTCTTAGAAGCAGGGGTCCCTGAACATTCCAGAAAAAAGTCCCAGTTTCTAACTAGGGGTTGACACATATTAAAAACACAGAATTCTTACCATGTCAGATTCCTCGTGAGGATCTGTGGGACTCTGAGGCAAAAGAAGGCAGTCTGGACCCCTGCGCATTCTCTGTGATGGCAGGGGGGTGTGTCACCAACACCCAGACCATGCCCAACACGTACTAATAACTCGATTACTGCTCTCAGGATGAATAAACCCACAAACAAGGAGAAGAGAGCTAGATTTCAAAGAATTTATCGGAAGAACTTGAGAGCCACTGTGAAGGGGAATTTTTCTCCAACACATTTTGTTTTGGGAAGAGGTAGAGGTAGAGAAGGTGTTTTGTCTAGTAGAGAAGAGGTAAATGTCATAGACCTGCTACTAAACTGGAAGAAAGATTTGAGTTCTTGTGATTACTTGTGTGCTAATTTAGATTTAGATTTTTTTGAAAAGTCACTGAATATCCCTGTAGTTGTTTATAAAGTGGGTACATTACATCCCTTCTGACAATAGAGTTGTTTACTAGCTAAAACACATGACTGTGGCTCAAATTCTAGAAATAATGATCAAAAACAATTCCAAAGCAATTCATTCATAAAATTAAGACCAAACTTTATTTATAACCATTGCCTTTAAATAATACACATATTGAATGTCATGTGGAAGATCTATGACTTTCTTTGTGTATAAAAAAGTTTTAATCTGAAATATAATTTGTAATGTGCATGTAATTTATTAAATTGCCTTTTTGATTTGTTCCTGTCAGATTTAATTTTCCTTTTAAACCCTCAATGACAAGAGTCATGGTACCCCAGAAATACTGCTATTCCTGAGGCCTCAGAAATAGATCCAGGAGTGTTAGTTGATACAATGGCTCAAGCAATTTATGTAAATTTATTTTCTCAGTCAAACCCACACTGAGTGGTGCAGTGGTTTGCAGAAACCAGCTTGTACTTGTTCCCAAGAGCAGACTGTGTACTTATCTTCTAACTGAACATTCGATGATATCACATTGATAGCTTGAAATTAGCCATTGCGGGAACATTTACACCCCCCAGCCCCACAACCCCAGAGGTGGTGGTTGTTAAACGACTGCCCATGGTGCACTTTGACAGAAATCTTTTTCCACATTGATTACAGAAAGCATGTGTTAAGGGGAAAGAAGTAGTCTCACAGATTCTTACTTGGTTCCAAATGGCATGCACTGTAAGTAAAAGAATACCTCCAAATTCTTTTTCAGATACGTTACCAAGGTCACAAAATGAACAGATTTGAGTTTCAGGTCTTTTCTGTCTCTCTAGTTCTTAGTTGGGGCTTCTAAGCTACCAAAAAGTTGGCAGAGAAAGAAAGAAGAAAAATTAGGAGACTGGATAACCTACCAACTGAAAAATCTGTCTTTGAGAAACTGGGAGTCTAGGGCTCTTTGGAATCTCCCCTTTTCCTGTAAATACTTGAATTACCAGCAGGGTTGCCCAGAGCAAAGGGCTTCACTTGACAGAGCAGAGCTGCTTCCAGTCTCCTTTCTAAAGCCCACAATTTCCTGCCGGTACATTCTTCTCGCTATAGACCAGCTAGGTCTCCTGGCAGAGGGGGTACAGCAAACATCTGGGGAATGAGGACCCATAGTGAAGCCACTCTTTTCATCCTCTCACCGGCGTATATACAGGTTGTGTCAGCAGTAACAAGGCTTCATTTGGAGGCTGACTCTATGTTTTCATCATTAAAAACCTCCCTGACATTCAATCTTTCTTTGCACACAAGACTGAAGGCCTGACATTAATAGTGGCTGGCATCCGATAACCATCTATGGGGACGAGTGAGTGAAGAAACAAAGAAATATATAATGCATATGTGCATTTTGCTTTCTTGTTTTTGCTTCTGCTTTTCTCCAGTCAATTTCTTCAGAGCTCTGGGAAGTGGCCAGAGCACAGGTACCTTAAGGAAAGATAGCTTACTTCAGCTTCTGGGCTTTCTCATCAGCTGCCTGGAGCTTCCTCAGCCGCATCCTTTCTCTTGGTGTCATTTTCTGCACTTCAGACAGCGCCCGCAGAGTCTGCAGGTGGATCTTTTTTTGCCTATAAATAATAAAGATCCCCCACATGCAACTCATCCCAAACATGCTCAGAAAAATTAAATAAATATTTTACAGAAGTATCATTACACTACTGAGAAGGGGAAAGCATCTCGAGACAGACCAGGCAAAAACTAATAAACTCAGGGTAGGTAATGAGCCAACCAGGACTGTGGTTAATTGGTAATATTTTTCAAATTAGACTTTTGTTTAAAAGCAAATTAGGTACTTTCCAAATTTCTGCTCATTTCATGGCCTATTACTGGTTTTCATAATGTAAGACAAATTAGGGTCTTGGACATCAAGGAGTAAATGGACTGGCGGACTAATTCAACCCTGCGGATAGGATTTAATCTTTGGAATTAGGCAGGGTTTGAACCCCATCTCTACCACGCATTAGTTCTGTAGCCTTGGGCAAGTTACTGAACCTCTCTGAAGCTCCATTTTCTCATCTGTAAAGAACAGGCTTTAATATTATATGAAACAATGTATGTACAGTGTCTGACACATCAAAGTAACCCAAACGGTAGTCTTGTAATAGTTAAATTTTGTTGAATGTGTTGTATATTCTATGCTTCATACAGCAGGTAAACATGGCACAGTGGTTTTCACACAGGTTAATAACATTGTCTGGGTTTGAATCCTAGCTCCCAGGTTACATGTATATGTCCTTGGGCAAGTTATTTAAGCTCCCTATGATCATTAAAAAAATAATAATTATAAAATAATAGTACCTAATTCATAGGGTTCTTGTGAGTTTAAATTAGTTAATTCATGTAAAGTGCTTATAACAGTGCCAAGCACCCCACAGAATATTAGTTAAAATTGTTATTTAAGAGCCTCTTTCGGGCGCCTGGGTGGCTCAGTTGGTTAAGCGACTGCCTTTGGCTCAGGTCATGATCCTGGAGTCCCGGGATCGAGTCCCGCATTGGGCTCCCTGCTCAGCGGGGGGTCTGCTTCTCCCTCTGACCCTCTTCCTTCTCGTGCTCTCTGTCTCTCATTCTCTCTCTCTCAAATAAATAAATAAAATCTTTAAAAAAAAAAAAGAGCCTCTTTCTTGGGGCGCCTGGTTGGCTCAGTCGTTAAGCGTCTGCCTTCGGCTCAGGTCATGATCCCAGGGTCCTGGGATCGAGCCCTGCATCAGGCTCAAGAAGCCTGCTTCTCCCCTTCCTTGTGTTCCCTCCCTCACTGTCTCTCTCTCAAAAAATAAATAAAATCTTTTAAAAAAAATAAAAAATAAATAAAAGAGCCTCTTTCTTCAGTTAAAGAAATGTGCTTACATTACTCATGTATTGAAAGGTCTGCAACCATATCCCCAATGATACTTGTTTTGGTGCTTGACTCAGTTAGGGCCAGTACTGCGGAATGCCTTTTGCACTCAGCTCCCTCCTTACAAAATACTAGGAGAAGTCTCCATTTCATTTCATTCCCACACTAATCTTTATTATTTTGTAATAATTGTGTAATTGTAATGACCATTTGTAGCAGCTCTCATCCCTCTGGAATACAGTCCACAGCCTCTACGGGACACACGAATTCTGGAATATGCATCCCTTATTCTGTAAGATCAAATAGAGCTCCTTGAAACACAGTCATAGTTCGTGGAAAAAAAAAAGTGACAATTTGAAATCAATATTTCATAATGTGGAAGACCATACAAGCGATCAGATTCTGGCACACTTTAACTGCAAGCACTCTCAGGTAAATGGAATCACAACCGCAGTACAAAACGATAGCTAAGATTAGTCTAGTGTTTTCCTACTCTCAAATCTCAGTTTAAAATAAAACAAAATTAGAATTCCAGGCATCTTGAAAGAATAATTAGCAACCTAAGGAAATTAGGTTATAGGACCATGCCTCAAACATTAGTCCCTGAGGTGCAGGGTATTTTAACTGGAGATCATGCATTAAACGAAGACTGAGTACCTTTGATGAACCAGTTTCCTCAGTTTGAATGTGAAATTGGAAAACAAACAGTTCAGTTGAGAAACCACTGGACTGAGTTTCAGAGAAGCACATTGTTATTTGGCCTTGAAGATTAGGCTAACGAGGGCTACTGTTCTCACCTACTGCCTTGCACAGCTCTAAGGAGGGACTGCCATTCTCATAGGGTCCTCATAAAATTACATAGAGAGTTCCTCAGTAAAATTATAGATTTGGTCTTTATATAATCTCTTGAGTTGTGCAGTCCACAGCCTGCACAGCTATACATGGTTGTTCTGAAGTCACCTAGTATTCTAGGCTTTTGTATGTTATAGCACAGGAATTTTGAATGAGATAGGAGAGAAGTTACGTCAAGAAATAATTATGTTTGTGAAAAAGACATTCTCTACTTCATATGTATATCTCAAGGAAGTAAATTTTGGCTATTTTCAATTGTCCTAGGACTTCACAGTGTTGTCTTCTCAGTAGATACTCTGTCAGTTCCTGTTAAACAAACAACATGTGAAAACTATCTATGCTTAATATAATGGAAGGTTCATTAGCATAACTATCACTAAATGTTTGAGATACTAATTTCTCTACATACTTACAAGGCAACTGCAGAGCTACCCTGCAGATCTGTAAGCTGTGCAGTGGTTTAAAACTTTTATAATTTCAATTTACTACCATCTGGTGCAAAGGGGCTTTGCTGAAGCTCCTTAATTTCTTGGCAAGACTTAAGTGAATTCTAGGAAACCCTGTGCAGACAGCTTAGCATTAATAGATTTTTAAAGACAAATGCATTTAAGATTATGCTCAATGGGCTTTTTAAAAACAAAGCAACTACTTACATGGCATTAATTATCTGAGCAGCCTCCTTCTGACAATTCAAATTCTTGTCTTCCAGAGTGATTTCCGAGTATCTACACATCAGGTGCTGAAAAAAAGAACAGCCCTGACGCACTTTAAATACCCCTCTTCAGGGATGAAAGGGCAGCCAACTACCAGGGGCCTTTTCTGATGTGCAGTGTTATTGACCATGCCTGGGAGCTTGAAAACAAAACCCACTGGTAACCACTTTTCCTTCGATAAAGGGTTACAAAAAATTGCATGGTAGCTTATGCAGCAAGGTCGTGGGGGGGTCAGGCTCCTGCCCGCTTCTCCGATTTCATCTGGCACTCACTGCCTGTTCTCTCACTCCCTGCTACCCACCACAGGCAGGCCTCCCCTCAGCTCCAAGAACAAACAAGCTCTTCCCAGTCTCTGCCAGTACTGGACAGTGTCCCCACTCCCAGGGCCAGGACTAGACTGGGACAAGTGAGGCACTCGCCTCAGGTGCAAAACTGAAGGGGCACCAAAAGACTCAGTAACCAAGATAAGTCATATTTTAAAGCAATATTATAAAAAAATCAAAATTAAAACCAAAAAGCCATGGAAAATATAATATGAAATGTTAGAATCTTGCCATTTGCAATAACATGGATGGATCTAGAAGGTATAATGCTAGGTGAAATAAGTCAGTCAGAGGAAGACAAAAACCATGTGATCTCACTCATATGTGGAATTTAAGAAACAAAACAAATGGACAAATGAAAAAGACAAACAAAAAATAGACTCTTTAGAGAACAAATTGTTGGTTGCCAGGCAGGTGAGGGGATGGGTGAAATAGGGGAAGGGAATTAAGACTACACTTACGATGAGCACTGAGTCATGTATAGAATTGGTGAATCACCTTAGTGTACACCTGAAACTAACATAGCTGTTAACTGTATTTTAATTATACTGGAATTTAAAAAAAAAGAAAAGAAAAGATTAAATAAAGACAGGATCCAACCCTGAACCTGCACCATTTTACCTCACTTCCATCACCCTAATCCTAGCCCTGCTGGATGCTGTCTGTGAACTTTTGATATTTTGTTTCAATGGATTTTTAGCATTAATTTGGATTTTTTTAAACATTGCAATAAAATATTATTTATCCTGATTACTGAGTTTTTGGTGTCCTCTCTAATTTTGTCCCAGGGCAAATGCCTCACTTGCCTCACCCTTTTCCCAGCAGATCTCCTTGGATTCCTTTTAACTTTTTTTTGGTCTGCTCATAGCCCCCTCAGTGTGTTTTTGTTTGTTTGTTTGTTTATTTTATTTGATAGAGAGACACAGCGAGAGAGGGAACACAAGCAGGGGGAGTGGGAGAGGGAGAAGCAGGCTTCCCGCTGAGCAGGGAGCCCGATGTGAGGACCCTGGGATCATGACCTGAGCCGAAGGCAGACGCTTAACGACTGAGCCACCCAGGTGCCCCTCAGTGTGGTTTTGATCCCAACAGTTAACACCTGCGCCTCTTTTTCAGCGGCCTGCCCTTGGGCTAGTGGAGCTGGCTATGCATAGGGAAAGCTACACACAGGGAGAACTCAAAGTACCAGGGAACTTCTGGCCTCCTCCCCTCCTGTCCTGCTTATTACCCTACTTCTTTAGGGGCTCCTCCAGAGCACACATTCTTGCCTAAGAACCCTCCCCTCTACGTCTCCATCTAGAAACATAACCTGATCTGGGGCTTTGTCTCAGCTAATTCCCTGTGGTTCCAACCCTCTCTCAGGCTCTTTACATGTCTGGCTGCTTCTCACCATCTCACTGGTAGAGAACAGTCACCTACTCTTTCTTTGACCACAAAGGCCATTATCCCCTTCCCCTATTTTACAGCATCCTGTGTGCTTTCTTCCTAGTGCTCCCGATAATGTATAATTACTCTTTCTTGGGTACTGGGTCCTCTTACTAGCAGTCAAGTTGCAAAAGGACGGGAGCCAAGGCTGTTCCTTTCCTTTCAGCACCTCCAGCATCAGCACTGTGCTCAGCACTCAACTGATGCAGACACATCAAGTCAGCATCCTTGTTTCCTGCCAACTTAGAACTGGACATGGATGAAAAAGTGTGCCCATCTTCGAAGGTGAATGACTGCTTTGTGGGTCCACTTAAAACTAGTCATAAAACTCAAGGAAATTTGCCTGAGGTATTTGTAAAAGCCTAAGTTAAAAAAACAAAACAAAACAAAAAATCCTCTAAGAAGGTACCGTTTGCTTTTTTCTTACCACCAGAGGTAGATTCTCTGCATCAAAATTTCTAATCTACAGGAAAACAAACTCACCTAATCAATAAAAAGTATGATTAAGATATATAAGAAAGGAGTGGCATAATAAAGGCTCAGCAAAACCCCCAGATTTTAGCATTATTAGTGGTACATTCTTGTCCTAGCAGGGATATATTTACAAAGTATTGAGGTAAGATTTGTAAGCCAAGAGCTCTAAGGGCGGATATTGAGTTTAGGTAGAATATTACAACCCTAACTTCTCATATCTGGGGCTTCAGGAAATTGGAGTTAACACATCTTCTTTTGCAAAGAGATTGTTCAACTAATAATTTCCTTCAGCTTTAAAAAAAAAAAATCTTCTTTCTCTATTTTCTGACCGATTCTTAATGCATCTTATTCCCACAGCCTATCTTCAAGTCCTCGAATGTATATAAATGCTAATATATGTTTCCCAGTATCCCTTTCATTTGAAATACCTGTAGTTGTTCATCAATGTAAGGGATTTTTAAAATTTCCATTGCAGAAGGTCTCAGTGAAGGACTCTTGTTCAACATGCTGTGATGTTTAAGAAGAAAATTATTTTTCAAATGAACTAAGATATAAGTACAATTTAAAATTGCTTCTGTGACAATATATTTCTTTCCATACCGTTCCATGATGGCATTCAGTTCTCTTGGATATCTCTTGGGGAGAGAAGGCGTGTCACCTTCAACAATTTTTAAAACAATGGACAAGAAATTGGAGCCAGTGAATGCATGATTCATGCAGCACATCTCATATAAAATGCATGCCAGAGACCTAATCAAAGAATCAAAAGACAAAATCAAAGAATTTAAATAAGGAACAAATGTCCTATTTTAAATTTGATCACCATACAAAACTTCAGATGTGTCATGGCATTGCTTGTGAGACACTAACATACCCTTTGATTGTTTGTTTAAAAGCTTCAGTTCTGTACTTTCGTTTCCATTTAAAAATATGTTTAATAAATAAAGAGGGAAAAATGAAAAAAAAAACCTACAAAAATTTAAGTCTGAATGACCACTTTTTGTCAGAGGAGAAACAAAACAACAGGAATATGTCTGCACACAGGAGGGCAAATAAACATTTGATCAATGTAGTGAGGAACCTCTATGAAGGAAAAATAAAATACAGCTAAATATCTTTCTAAGGCAGTTTTGTTAATACTATATATGCAAACTAAAATTTTAATTTATCAGCCTAACCTTCCTTCAAATGTGTATCCAAGCATTTTGAAAAGGAAACCGGCATTCTGTATTAGTTTTCTGAATAGAATCCATTTGCAAGTAGGGTGGAAAAGCAGCTACTTGTAGCTCACATTAAAATGTATAATTCTCCCTTTGAGCATATGAAACAGAATATTAAAATTCTAGATCAGTCCAACACTGATTTGGATTAACCATGCAAATCAGTAACCTCTAAACCAGCAGAATAATCTTTTAAATAACTCAGCATCATTAAGAAAAGTAAGGGGGAAATTCCTGCCTGAACTTAGTATACTAAGAAAGAACTGTACTTCCCCTAAATTAATGGATTATTTTTAATATTATGAGGATTTTGAATTGTGTAACCAGCCAGGTCTCCCTTTTCATGTTAGTTGCTTGAAAAATCAAAAATAAACTTACAACCAATCTTGTGTAAGTTCTGTGTTATGTAACGTTTAACACCATCCTACTTTCTTATAAAAGGCAGTGCATGTATAAATAAATAAATACATGAATACTATCATTTTAACCATTTTGTGGGTATCATAAAAATGTGCACTGGTAAGAGAATTCTGGATATACACTGAATACAAAGAGATGTTTTTGTTTCAGTAAATAACAATGACACTAAAAAATTCCAACTAATTGGTACTTCACATATTGCAAAGCACTTCCATACATAACTCAACAGAACATCATAATTTCCAGTGACATACAGCTACTATATTTTTCCCATTTTATACATGAGGAAACTGGCTCAAAGAAGTTAAATGGCTTGATCAAGTTCACAAGGTATTTTTCCTTCCAAATTCTGGACTATTTTCATTACAGAATGCTAGAAAGAAAGGGATGTTAGGAGAAATCCCATGAGTGACTAAAACACCAGGATCAATGTAAATATTATAAATTATGAAAATTATTTGAAGCTCAATAAATTTTGTACCCATCTGTAAGACTATTAATATGATGACTATTAATATGATGATGTAGCACTTCTTTAGATTTCTATACCAGAAAAAGTTTCCTTCAATAAATGTGAAATAAAGACATTTTTAGACAAGCAAAAGTTGAGAGAATTCATTGCCAGCAGGACAGCACTAAAAACAACCCTAAGACAGAATTCTTCTTCTTGAAGAAAAATTAAGGCAGAAACAAGGAATGCAGGGAGGAATAAAAAACACTATAAAGAGTAATTCTGTAACTATGTATAAGCCAATATTAACTCTATAAAATGATACTAACAATATATTGTGGAATTTAAAATTATGTAGAATATAATTTTATGGCAAAAATAATGTGAAAGACATAAGAGGGTAAATGGAGTTAAAGTACTTAAGGTCCTAGCATTACTGGGAAAGTGGTAAAAGTAATAACTTTCCTTAAACTAAGTTTCAGGGGTGCCTGGGTGGCTCAGTCATTAAGCGTCTGCCTACAGCTCAGGTCGTGGTCCCAGGGTCCTGGGATCGAGCCCCGCATCAGGCTCCCCACTCCGCAGGAAGCCTGCTTCTCCCTCTCCCACTGTCCCTGCTTGTGTTCCCTCTCTCGCTGTGTCTCTCTCTGTCAAATAAATAAATAAAATCTAAAAAAAAAAAAAACAAAAACTAAGTTTCATTATACTAAGGCAACAATGTATGTTATAATTGCTACAGTTTTCACCAAAAGAATAGTAAAACAACGTATATTGACAAGTTCATAACTAGTAATTTACTAGAGGGAAAAGAATCAAATAAAAATTTAAAATAAAAGCAAGAAAGGAGAGAAAAAGAAACAACAAATGGTATATATGGAAGACGAATCATAAGATGACAAATAAAAGTACAAATATAGAGTAATTATATTAAATGTAAATGGACAATATTTCAATTAAAAGACTATCAGATTGGGTCAAAAATTATATCCTGCTCATAAAACAAACCTTAAATATAAGAACACAGAGCAGTTTAAAGAAAGAGGTATACCATGCAAATATTTACCAAAATATTGCTGGTGTAGCTATACTAGCATCAGACAAAATAGACTTAAAGGCAAGAACCACTACTAAGAGTGAGGTGGTAGGCTGATAAAGAAATTAAACCATGAGGAATATATAACAATTCTAAAATCCAATAACTGTGGGTGTGTTTGTGTGTGTGTGTGTGTGTATAAAGCAAAAATTGACAGAATTAAAAGAAAAATAGACAAATTCACAGTCATAATGAAAAACTTTAACATACCTCTTTCAATAGCTTATACAAGCAGACCAAAACTTCAACAAGGATAGAGAAAATCTAAACACAATTACTAAAATTGACATAACTGACATACTAACACAAATGCATCCAACAATGGTGGAATTCAGATTCTTTTCAAGGGCACACTGACCATTTTCCAAATTGACTATACTTAGGATCAAGGAAGCCTCAACAGACTTCAAGGATTGAAAACTTCAGAGCATATTTTCTGACCACAGTGAAATTAAGCTAGACTTATTAATTAATAACAGGGGAAAAAAATCTACAAAATCACCACCCACTTGAAAATTCAAGAATATACATCTAAATAATTCATAGGTGAAATAAAGTCCAACAAAAATTAGAAAAATTTAAAACTGAATATTAATAAAAGTACAAAATATCAATACTTTGAATGTAGCTAAAAATAAATGATTATAGCAAAATTGAAGTATTAGATGTATATATTAATAAAGAAAAAAGCTTAACATCTATGATCTAAGCTTGAGAAGATAGAGAAAGAAGAGCAAATCAAGCCAAATAAAGTTTAAGGAAAGAAATTTTTGAAAAGTAGAAAATAATGAAATAGACAAAGACACACAATAAAAATAAAATGTTAATAGATTTAATAGAACTCTAGCGAGACTGATCAAGAATACAAGAAGAAAAACCCACACAAACAATAACAAAAATGGAAAAGTATACAACACTATGGATGCCACAGCTGTTAGAAAGTACTAAGATGACATGTTTTTCCCCAATAAATTTGAAAAATGAGATGAAATGAACAGTCTTTAAAAAAATATAACTTACCAAACTGATACCAAGAAAAAATACAAAATCGGAATAGTCCTTCATCTATTATAAATAATAATAAAAATAATAATTAATTTTAAAAAACTTTTAAAATAATAAAATAAAAACATTAAATAATTAAAGCAATATTTAAAACAATAATTAAAAAAAAAACTTTTTTAAAGCTCCCCACAAAAAACCCTCCAGGGTCAGATAGTTTTACTGGGAAATTCTTTCCAACGTTTTAGGAATAAAGAACACTAATCTTATTTAATCTCTTCATTTTAACAAGTCAGCACAACTGTGATATAAAGTATAACAAGAATAATACAGAAAAAGAAAATTATAGGCAATTTTTTTATGAACATAGATTCAAAAATTCCAAATACACACATGTATGCATATTATAAATAGAATATGATGCTATATTAAAAAGATAATATATAAAAACCAAGTGGATTTATTAAAATCAATCAATGGCATATATCTCATTATAGATGAAGAGAAAAATTATACTTGGATGCAAAAAAAGGCAGTGGGTAAAATTCAAAACCCATTTGTGTTTTTAAAGATATTTATTTATTTATTTATTTATTTATTTATTTATTTATTTGTCAGGGAGAGAGAGAGAGCACAAGCAGGGGAAGGGCAGAGGGAGAGGGAGAAGTAGGTTCCTCTCTGAGCAAGGAGCCCGATGTGGGACTCAATTCCAGGACTCTAGGATCATGACCTGAGCTGAAGGCAGACACTTAACAGACTGAGCCACCCAGGCATCCCCTCTTTGTGTTTTTAAAAGGAATAAAACTCTTAGTACACTGGGAATAGAAGGGAACTTCTTCAATCATTTTTTAGAGCTATAAAATATATAGTAAATATTATTCTTATTGGTGACATATTGAAAGTTTATGCTTTTATTTTGAGATTGAGAATAAGATAAGTATGTCTACTATCACCATTTATATTCAATACTGTAATGAAGGTGCTATTCAGAATAAGGGCAGAAAAATTTTTAAAAATATAAATATATTTATACATATAAAGAATATATGTAAAGATTAGAAAAAATATATTAAACTGTCATTAAGCATTTCGACATGGTTATGTACATAAAAGGTCATTTCAATAAGCCTGTGACAAACATTTTTTTTTTTTAAGATTTTATTTATTTACTTGGCAGAGAGAGAGCACAAGTAGGCAGAGTGGTAGACAGAGGGAGAAGGAGAAGCAGGCTCCCTGCTGAGCAGGGAGTCCGATGTGGGGCTTGATCCCAGGACTCTGGGATCATGACCTGAGCCGAAGGCAGACGCTTAATGACTGAGCCACCCAGGCGCCCCCTGTGACAAACATTTAAAAAATGAAATGCAAAATGTCACTTACACTAACATCATACAATGTCAAATACATAGGAGTAAATCCAATGAAAGATGTGCAAGGCCCTACACTGCATACCACAATACATCACTAAGAGAAATTAAAGACCACCTAAAAAAAGGGAGTGGGGGTGGAGAGGGAGACATCCACATACATGGATTGAAAGAGTCAACATAATGAAGATGACAATTTTTCC